GCCGCTGTAACAACATGGACTTAAAGTCTGCCTGGCCCTACACAAGGCTACAACGACGCATCGCTTGTTCGAGTACGGAGGGACACAAATAAGCGAAACATGTAATTATTATTATTTGAGTTCGGAAGTGACTGATACAATCGAGTCTGCCTGACGACGTTTTTGCTGGCGGCGAGCTGACTTGCTAGCCTGAATCTCTGATGGTACTCCAAGCCTCCTGGTCGTCCCCACTACTCCGCTCGATCCTTACTCGCACCATCATGAAACCCTACCACCCTTACCGGTCAAGGTCAGCCACGACGAGGCTCGCGTGTCGTCGCCATGGCGGTGTCGCGGTCCGACCGAGTTCGTAGCAGCGCGACACGTTGAGGCAGGGGAGGCCGATGAGCCGGGGGGGGAGGCGTATACAAGAAATGGTGACTGCGCGCTGTGTTTGGGGGGTGTTCTGCGGTGTTTCAGACTGAAGTGACAAATACGAGCCATCGTTCCTATCAAATTCGACACATCGGAACAACGAGCGCTGATACGCATGCTGCTGCCATGGCTGGCGGTGGATTCTCAGTCTTTCGGGTGCTGACCAGTGGCAGCAGCGGCTGTCTCATTTCCACAGAAGACATCGAAAATTAGCTTTGTATACCATCGGAATCATTTCTAAGTGGCAGCGGCAACTGTCCCTCTGACAGCAGTAACACGCGTCAACATGGACCCATGCCGAATCTTCCTTCCACCTCGGTGGCTTGTCTCAGTGTCGTGCCAACGATGCCGCAGCCGTCAATACACGCATGCATGGCACTCCGGCTTGCACGGCAGCCATGAATCACACTCACCCCCCGCGCTGGACTCTCTGATCTGTCGTGTTGCAAAGCCCGCGCCTCGATAAACTTGAACGGCCTAGGTATACATGAGGCGAAAACCGCGTTCATCCGTTTGAAAATGTCGCGATTCACGACAATCCAACTACATCGATCTAGTAACCCGAAAGGTCACCTACCCATAGCAATTTTTACGAAGTTGATTGATTCGGGGTTTTCAAGGGTATGGTGGTACCCTTATCCGTTTTATTCTCATTGGATGAAATACAGTACTGATACATGCAGTCACAACACAATTGTAACTAGAAAGAAAACCATGTATGTTATGTATTCAATTGTCGTAGATCAGCTACATCAGCATACCGTATCCTTCCATCCACCTTTGTCCAGAGCGTGAAATAGGTCAGAGGCTCTGGAGAAACCCCATTATCTGATCATCCTGGACTAAGCACTTACTCATGGCATGCATAGCCTGACCTGCCCTCATGACATGGGTGGCATTTTCTTCCCTCATGACAGGGGTAGCATCCCCTGCCTTCACCTGCATTATAGGCCCTTTGCTCGTCTCCCCTACTTCTCCCAGCGAAACGACCCCGACCAAGAATGCAGTAGAATGTGAGGGAGGGGAACTGCTGGAGCAAAGATGCCAGGGCTCTGAGGCGCCACCGTCGAGTCGCAAAGAAGATCGATTGCAGCATCGGAGCATCGATGAAAGGAGGGGTTGTTGCTTCATCCTTGATGCGGCTGCCGTTGCTTCCTCCTTCCCCAAATGAGCCCCATAGCGAATACGAACTCACATCTTCCTGTCTCCTGTCGTTCGCACCAATCCCAAGGCAGCGCAGGCGGCTCCACTCTGCAGGCACGTCCTCGAGTGGCCAGCCATGCCTCACTAAAAGCGTCTCCACTGTTGGCGCTATGCTGGTGAGTAGCTGTGTAAAGGGAAGCTGAGTGGCAGCCAATGAGGGCTGAGGGGCAGAGCCGGGACGTGCAGCCCACGACAAGCCGAGCTCTTCTTTAGTAATGGGTCCGCGCATGTAGACATTTTTGGCAGAAGCCAGTGGGAGCGAAGACACGACAAGCTGCCTTCGACAGACTAGAGTGAGCGAGTCAAGAGAGATAGGGCTGTCGCATTCGCAGTCAAGCTCCAATTCCGCTGCCATGACAGAAAACGCCTTCAAGGAGGGATGGAGGGAGAAGCGAAGGTTGAGCGCTTGCCGATCAACACAAATTGTGATAGTTCTGGCAACAGGGAACTCGAAACTGAGGATGCGAGACCCATGGTTGGAGGAGGAGAAAGAGAATTCATGCAACTGCAATGAGATGGATGACAGGAAGGAAATTTGGTCGTCGTTGCAGTCCACATGGTCAATGGTAAGGCTCCTTAGTGCCTTGAACCAAGCTGGACTCAACTTGTGTAATTGCCACCTCCCACGACCTAGTTCCAGCCGCTGCAGCTGCCCAAACTTCCTGAGAAAGGTCGGATTGATCAGACTGTACTGTTCGGAACGATATTGGTAACTGGTTTTCAGAACTAGGCAGAGGCTAGTGAGGGAGTGAGCAGAGGATGCCAGACGTCGATTGAGGCTCTCTAAATCTGTCAAGCTGCTGAAACCGAGGTCAAGTGATTGGTGTCCCCTCTGTTTGAGAAACCAGAAGAGCGCTCTTCTCCACCAGCGCTCCTCAGTACTGACTAGGAGGGAGATGGGCTCCAGCTCCTGCACGCACAGATGCCAGATGGCCTTAGCTGTGACCGGGCAATTCAGCATCCAGAGCGGAACGACGCGTAGAATATTGCATGAGGAACCAGCGCTGTGCATGACTCACGGAGAAGGAGATGACATGGTGGAGGAGCCTCTTGCTAACCATGGCACAGCGCAGCAGTGGCCAGGAAGAGCCGTAGCGCCTTGTGTTCTCCTCATGCGTCTCCCGGTCAGGATACATTCTAAAGAAGAACAATCTGATTGCTTCTTCCGCCTGTGTTGGGTCAGACAAATCAAACAGTTCTTCCCGATCGAAACAGTTAGAGAATTCGCGTAGGTTGAGTAGCGGAGCGGGATAGTCCGTTGGCAGCAGCAGGTGGCGGAAGATGATGTGCCAGATGGGGCCGGGCAGCAGATCAACCACGTCCTGGCTCTGGTGGGTGGGAAATTAAGTAGTGGAAATGCGAGTAAGTGAAGGCGGATAATAAGATGAGGTGGTGCGAAAAGAAAAATAGTGAAAGGAGAAGTGGACTATCTCACTGCGTCAGACAGAAAGCGAAGAAACACGGAGCTGCGGCATAAATCTCACCATGATGTCCGATTGATGCCGTTACTAGCTCAGCGTCAGAGGCTGCTGTTAGCTTGAGAGCAAGAATTAGCCGGCGACAGGTTACTACGCAATCGCAATCGCTGACGAAAATGGTGGGGTTGAATCCGCCAACGTCCAGTTGAGATTTGACAGCTCCAATCATGAAAAGTAATTAGCCAATACTTCTCAACGATAAGTGGCGAGCAATTAGCCCGGCATGCTTGATTTCTATGGCGACGGTGGATTTATGACTAGTGGTGCCAGCGACTATTCCATTGCCCATGCTTCGACATCCACCAGTGGTTTCCGCCAAGCAGCAACTCCACTCCACGTGTCGACATACTAACCGTGCCAACTTGGATGGCTTAAAGCTCGCGTCTCATATTTTTTCGTTCCAACCAAGTGTTAAACGCTTGGGATCCGGTAACAGCCTGTTTTGTCGCATAACACCCCCAAGCAAGGGTTAGGTTTGGGAAGGTTGGTTGGGTGTGGGTCGGCCCCGCAAACCAAATGTACAGTACAAACAACGTGGTGTGACTCAGTGTATGGTTTCGCCAAACCAGGCTGGGAGACACACCTGCGCGACGAAACCACAGGCTGCGACAACAGAGTGTCGCACTCTCCCGTGTGCAGACCAAGCATTTTACAGGGGTCGGAAATATGAGACACCCAACTCTACCATTCTCACAAGGAGCGTAGTTCCTGCACCCGTTCAAGTGTTTTACGCTTTACTATCGCGTGTCCTAGCGTATACTATCACAGAGAAGTCCTCATAGGTCATTCACCAAGAACCTCATTATGCACTTAGACAACCCACTTCTTTGAGTCCCGCTCCACATCACTTCGTTTACATTCTGCATCGTGATACCCCATTCCGGGTTGCCTCGCACTCCTCCCCTGCCTTTAGTAGGTGAGCTCGACGGATTTGCGGTTTTATTCCATGCGGAATTAGTGGCGGAATGGTGGTATATGGCGGAATTAGTGGCGGAATGGCGGTGGATGGCGGAATTTTTGGCGGAATGGCGGTAGATGGCGGAATTAGTGGCGGAATGGCGGTGGATGGCGGAATTATTGGCGGAATGGCGGTAGATGGCGGAATTAGTGGCGGAATGGCGGTAGATGGCGGAATTAGTGGCGGAATGGCGTTAGATGGCGGTTAGAGAGGCGAAATGATGGGCGGAATGAGACGCGGAATGGTGGAAGTTGGCGGGGAGGCGGAATGGTGGTAGATGGCGGAATAAGAGGCGAAATGGTGGTAAATGGCGGAATGAGAGGCGCAATGGTGGAAAATGGCGGAATGAGAGGCGAAATGATGGAAAATGGCGGAATGAGAGGGAATGGGGGAGGGATGTGAGGTCAGACGGGGGAATGGAGGTGCCATGATAGGGTGTGTGTGTTGTGGGAGGGGGAAGGGAGGTGAGTTCAGAGGGGGGGGGGGGGATGTGTTGAGATAAGGGAAACGGATGTGATGTGAGAGGGGGAAAAAATGTGCTTATGGAGGGGGAAGAGAGGAGAGCTCAGACGGTGAAGGTAGGTGAGGGGAGTTGGAAAGGTGTGTGAGTTCGGAGGAGGAAGAGAGGTTCTTAGTTAGGGGGATGGAGGTGCTAGCAGGGGGGAAATAAGTGATGTGAGATGGGGAAGAGAGGTGCTTAGGGAGTGGAAAGGGAGGTGAGGTCAGAGGTGGTTGGGAGGTGAGATGAGAGGGGGAAGGGAGGTGCTGTGATAAGGGGGAGGTAGGTGAGCAGGGAGGGGGAAGAATGCCTTTTGCTCCCCATGAATGCCCTTTTGCTCCCCAAGAATGCCTTTTGCTCCCCAAATTTACCCCTTTTGCTCCCCATGAATGCCCTTTTGCTCCCCAAGAATGCCTTTTGCTCCCCAAATTTTCCCCTTTTGCTCCCCATGAATGCCCCCAGTGCTTTCCATACTTTCCCCTTCTGCTCCGCATCAGTTCCCCCTCTCCTTCCCCTCTCCTCGCTGCTCCGTTCCTCTCCTCGCTGCTCCGTTCCTCTCCTCGCTGCTCCGTTCCTCTCCTCGCTGCTCCGTTCCTCTCCTCGCTGCTCCGTTCCTCTCCTCGCTGCTCCGTTCCTCTCCTCGCTGCTCCGTTCCTCTCCTCGCTGCTCCGTTCCTCTCCTCGCTGCTCCGTTCCTCTCCTCGCTGCTCCGTTCCTCTCCTCGCTGCTCCGTTCCTTTCCTCGCTGCTCCGTTCCTTTCCTCGCTGCTCCGTTCCTTTCCTCGCTGCCCCGTTCCTCTCCTCGCTGCTCCGTTCCTTTCCTCGCTGCTCCGTTCCTCTCCTCGCTGCTCCGTTCCTTTCCTCGCTGCTCCGTTCCTCTCCTCGCTGCTCCGTTCCTCTCCTCGCTGCTCCGTTCCTTTCCTCGCTGCTCCGTTCCTCTCCTCGCTGCTCCGTTCCTCTCCTCGCTGCTCCGTTCCTCTCCTCGCTGCTCCGTTCCTTTCCTCGCTGCTCCGTTCCTCTCCTCGCTGCTCCGTTCCTCTCCTCGCTGCTCCGTTCCTCTCCTCGCTGCTCCGTTCCTCGCTCACCTCGTAGCACGCAGCTATCCCACCCGTTCCGCAGTCACTGTCGTCCCGCATTCTCACCCGTTGCTCTCGCACCCTCCTCACGCGAGAACGATGCCACCGCGCTTTCTCGCTCCCTCAATCAATCCCGTCCCTCTCTCACTTCCGTCCTTCTCTCACACCCGTCCCTCTCTCACACCCGTCCCTCTCTCACACCCATCCCTCTCTCACACCCGTCCCTCTCTCACACCCTTCTCCCTCCCTCCCTTTCCCCTTCTCCTTCCCTCCGTTTTCCCCCTTGTTCTGGCCCTCTGTGGGCGGCAGCAGCAGCCTTCAAGGAAGTGGTGGCATACCACACACCTCCGACACAGAAGCAGCAGTGGGCGCCAACAGGGGGGATTGCCATAGTCAATGCTGTAGTTGTCACCCTTCTCACTCACACACCCTGCTCACTCACACTCCCTGCTCACTCACCCACCCTGCAGTGCTGGTGAGTGCAGTGCTGGTGAGTGCTGTGCTGGTGAGTGCAGTGCTGGTGAGTGCAGTGCTGGTGAGTGCTGTGCTGGTGAGTGCAGTGCTGGTGAGTGCAGTGCTGGTGAGTGCAGTGCTGGTGAGTGCTGTGCTGGTGAGTGCTGTGCTGGTGAGTGCAGTGCTGGTGAGTGCAGTGCTGGTGAGTGCAGTGCTGGTGAGTGCAGTGCTGGTGAGTGCTGTGCTGGTGAGTGCAGTGCTGGTGAGTGCAGTGCTGGTGAGTGCTGTGCTGGTGAGTGCAGTGCTGGTGAGTGCAGTGCTGGTGAGTGCTGTGCTGGTGAGTGCAGTGCTGGTGAGTGCAGTGCTGGTGAGTGCTGTGCTGGTGAGTGCAGTGCTGGTGAGTGCAGTGCTGGTGAGGCAGTGCAGTGCTGGTGAGTGCAGTGCTGGTGAGTGCAGTGCTGGTGAGTGCAGTGCTGGTGAGTGCTGTGCTGGTGAGTGCTGTGCTGGTGAGTGCAGTGCTGGTGAGTGCAGTGCTGGTGAGTGCAGTGCTGGTGAGTGCTGTGCTGGTGAGTGCAGTGCTGGTGAGTGCAGTGCTGGTGAGTGCAGTGCTGGTGAGTGCTGTGCTGGTGAGTGCTGTGCTGGTGAGTGCAGTGCTGGTGAGTGCTGTGCTGGTGAGTGCAGTGCTGGTGAGTGCTGTGCTGGTGAGTGCTGTCGTGTTCTTCTCCCCCGCCGTTCCTCCCTTCATCAGTTCCTCCCTCTTTTCCACCCTTCCTCTTTTCATCCCTTCTTCTGTTCCTCTTCAACTGTATGCATAAATCGAGGGACCTTGCGTTATCATTTCCCGTGTTGGCTGCTTGTCCTTCTCATTATCTTGTATACTTCCCTGCTGCACAGCCATGTCACATCTTATTTCCTGGTTTGTGTTTGTATACATGTCTGCTATGCATCTGGTTGTGGTGATGTGTTGACTGTTTGAGAGTGCTACAATGATTGGCCATGCCGTATATTGATGTTGGATGCTTTGTTATAATACAAACACTTTGCTCAGAAGCAGCCATGCACATGACCACTACAAAGGAAGTACTTGGCAACTGACTAATGTCACCAAGAAGACAGCTAGAAATGTAATGTTTTTGGGCCACTCTTGGCTGCTACACTGCATGCAATAAACCCTGGGCCATGGTGCTGGGACCTGTACCCTGCGCGGCTGGAAATGGGGGTGAGTGAAAGGGGGAACAGACTGAGTAGCGGAAATTAGAGTGAACAGGAAGAAACAAAGCGAGCCGGGGGGAAGTGAAGGAGCAGGGGAAACAGAGTGAGCCGGGGGGAAGAGAATGAGCAGGGGAAACAGAGTGAGCCGGGGGGAAGAGAATGAGCAGGCCAAACAGAGTGAGCCGGGGGAAAGAGAATGAGCAGGCCAAACAGAGTGAGCCGAGGGGAAGAGAATGAGCAGGGGAAACAGAGTCAGCCAGAGAGATCAAGGTGTGTGAGGGAGAGTGGTGAGGAGCTAACGTACCGTGTGGGGAAGGGAGTGGGCGAGGTGTAACAGAAGGGCGTCAGGGACAGCAGCAGTAGAGGGGTCGAGGTGAGGTGAGTGAGGAAGGCGAGGAGGTGAGGAGGGAAGAGGGAGGAGGGAGGAGCGATTGAGGCACCAGAGAGAACCAGATGAGTGAGGGGGAAGGAGGAAGAGGAGGAGGAGTGAGAGGAGGAAGGAGAGGAGGCGGAGGGAGAGGATGAGGAGGAGGGGAGAGGGAAGCCAATGGAAAGCAGGGGGCAGTGGGAGAGGTGGAGGGCGGTGAGGGAGGGGTGGGCGGGGAGGTGGGAGAGGGCAGTCCAGGCGAGGTTGGCGGAGAGCAGGCGGGGGAAGGCGAGGAGCAGCGAGGCAGAGGCGCTGGTGATGCTGCTGCCCCACACTGACAGATGGCGCAAGTGAACGAGCGACTGCAGGGGAAGGGGGAGAGGCGGGGGTGGAAAGAGGATGGTGGGAGTGGGGAAAGGGAGCAGCGGCGCAGAGGCGTTGGTGATGCTGCTGCCCCACACTGACAGATGGCGCAAGTGAACCAGCAACTGCAGGGGAAGAGTGGGTGGGGGTTTGGGGGGGAGAGGGGGAAGAGGAAGGCAAGGAGGTGAGAGGAGGAGGCGTTGGTGGTGCTGCTGCCCCACGCTGACAGATGGCGCAAGTGGACTAGCGATGGGCGGGGGAAGCGAGGGCGACGGGAGGGGGAAGCAAGGGCGACGGGAGGGGGAAGCAAGGGCGATGGGAGGGGGAAGCGATGGCGATGGGAGGGGGAAGCGAGGGCAAAGGGAGGGGGAAGCGAGGGCGACGGGAGGGGGAAGCGAGGGCGATGGGAGGGGGAAGCGAGGGCGATGGGAGGGGGAAGCGAGGGCGATGGGAGGGGGAAGCGAGGGCGATGGGAGGGGGAAGCGAGGGCGATGGGAGGGGAAGCGAGGGCGACGGGAGGGGGAAGCGATGGCATGGGAAGGGGGTAGCGAGGGCAAAGGGAGGGGAGAGGAGGCCGCGCGGAGAGGCGAGAGGAGGCCGCGCGGGGAGGCGAGAGGAGGCCGCGCGGAGAGGCGAGAGGAGGCCGCGCGGAGAGGCGAGAGGAGGCCGCGCGGAGTGGCGAGAGGAGGCGAGAGGAGGCCGCGCGGAGAGGCGAGAGGAGGCCGCGCGGGGAGGCGAGAGGAGACGGCGCGGGGAGGCGAGAGGAGGCCGCGCGGAGAGGTGAGAGGAGGCCGCGCGGAGAGGCGAGAGGAGGCCGCGCGGAGAGACGAGAGGAGGCCGCGCGGAGAGGCGAGAGGAGGCCGCGCGGAGAGGCGAGAGGAGGCTACGCGGAAAGGCGAGAGGATGCGGGAAGGGGATATCGGGCGGCAGGAAGGGGAGATCGGGCCGCGGGAAGGGGAGATCGGGCGGCGAGCACGGGAGATTGGGCGGCGAACAGGGGAGACGGGTGGCGGGAAGCGGCGATAGGGTGGCGGGAATGTGACGGCTATAACCTAATCACGGGCATACGCAAGAGGGTGCGCTACTGCTGCTCCCCACAGTTACATGTTTCACTTTCTTCACGCCTTTGGACAGAAGATTGCTTACTAATGCAGTGGTATTGTTATGACTACGTGTAAGGATGTATAGCCGGAGTGCGCGTGATGGCACTTCGTTTTTCCCTGCCACTTCTCTCCCTTGCACAATCGGTGTTTCCGTCGTCAGGGTTGGTCGCACAAAGTACAGTACACTCACGCCAAACCTGTCCTACAAGGTGCGGACGTGATCCAAACCTGCCCCTGAGGTGTGGTTTTGGCCTCAGTTCTTCACAACTTCGCCCATATATTTCCTCCGCTCGTGAAAAAATTCGTCACTCGTGAACCAATCATGTTCGTAGTTTCCCAACCAAGTGTTAAACGTTTGTAAATATGAGACGCGAGCTTTAACTCCCATTTCCTACCGTAGCTCTGTGCAATACGAATGCATGCCTCTTCGGCTCGCAAAGCGGCTAGGCTCTTTTCTTCCCAGCTGACTGGAGAAGGGAAGCACTCGAGAGATCACAAATCCTGGGTGGAATCAATCCCCTCTGAAAGGAGCCTCGATCCTAGCCAACACAAAGCTGCTGTTTACCGTGAAATGGACGTGCAAGCATGTTTCTAAATTTGAACCAACTCCTAACTCGATAGACAACATAAGTTCGGCCTTAAACTGGAAAGAAATTCCCGCCACACGTGGGCGACCATTGGGAAACCATCACAATACCGTAACCCCCCTATTCCAAAGAGAATTAAGACAGTACAGATCCTGATCATGCTGCAGCACTTCTGTTCATCAGTCTACCTGACCATCTGCTCTCTACATCAGTGTAATTAACTGAGGCGGCGGCACCTGCAGAGCAGCACCACCGTGATACCCAGAGGAAGCAGCTTCATCACCTGCATCATCATCATCATCAGTTGGCCCAGCTACAAACACCACACACACATCCCTCCCACCCAGCAGCATTGTCACCCCCATTGCTAGCAATCACTGCTGCCCCATCGCCCCTAAGTCCACCACCACATCTGGTGCAAACCTGTAACTTCAATCTACTCACTAACTCAGCTACCCTTCTCGTTTTATCAAAGAACCCATCCAGCTCAGAGGGATTGAAGGAACCTCATGATCCGATCATCCTGCTCCATGTCCTCCATGGCATGTGCACCATGTTCTGGCCTCAGCTGTACCACTGGCTGCTTGCTTCCCTTCTCACCCTCCCCCTCCCAGTGAACGACCGACCAACAACGCGGTACAGCGTCAGGGACGGAAACTGCCTGCGCAGAGATACCAGCGTCTTGGGCTGCCACTGCCGAGTCGCAAAGGAAATAGATTTCAGCTTTGGGGCTTGAATGAAAGGAGGCCTTATCGCCTCCAGCTCACTCCTGCTGCTCACCCCATCTCTCCAGCCTTCCACACCAATCCCAAGAGAGCGCAGGCGGCTCCACTCTGCATCCACGTCCTCCATTGGCCAGCCATGCCTCACTAAAAGCGTCTCCACTGTTGGCGCTATGATGCGGAGTAGCTGGGTCAAGGAGAGTGGATGCAGGCAGGCATGATACAGGGTGTGTGGTCCATTGAAAATGACAATTCTTGCGCAGGCTAGTGGTGGGAGTGAAAAGATAAGGAGCTGTGAGCGGCCAATGAGAGTGAAAGAGTCGAGAGAGAGAGGGCTGTCGCACTTGCAGTTAACCTCCAGGTCCTCTGCCGAGATAGAAAGCGACTTGAGAGTGGGAGGGAGGGAGAAGTCAACTGTAAGCAGCATGCCCTCAAAGCTGACTGAGACAACTCGAGCAACAGCGAAGCCGAGTTTGAGGCTGCAAATGTCACGGTTGGAGGAAGAAAGAAAGAATTCATGCAGCTGCGGGGTAATGGAAGACAGGAAGTTGTAATCCCAATCTCTGCAGTCAACATGACTGATGGTCAGACTCCTCAGCGCCGTGAACCATGCTGCATCCACACTGCCTAGCTGCCACCTCCCACGGCATAGCTTAAGCCGTTGCAGCTGGCCAAACTGCTTGAAGAGGCCCGGATAGATCAGGCAGTCTTCGAAGGATCTGGAATGATACGAAGAAGAATCCTTCACTCCTATGCACAAAGTTGTGACGGAGTGAGCAGAGGATGCCATAAGCTGGCCGAGGTTCCGCAAGTCCGTCAAGTCACTAAAAACGAGGTCAAGAGACTTGTGGCCTGTCCGTCTGAGGAACCATGAGAGCATTCCTGTCCACTGGGGTTCCTGATCGTTGAATATGAGGCAGATTGGCTCCAGCTCCTGCTCACACAGCCACACACAGAGATGAAACAAACTCAGCACCCACCTCCCAGATGACAGAGCACCTTGGCAAAAGTAAGGATTTTGCAACCTGAACCTAAGTTTGCATGCCATAAAATGAGCTGCTTCAGAGGGGGTTGTACGATTGAATGAGGGAAGCAGGAAACGATAATGGAGAAGGGCTGGTGTAGGCATGGGTAGTAGTGAGGAGTAGAAAAATAGGGAAGCAAGGGAGGAACCGCACGACTCACAGAGAAGGAGATGACATGCTCGAAGAGTCTCTTGCTGGCCATGGCACAGCGCAGCAGAGGCCAGGAGGAGCCGAAGCGCCTCGCGTTCTCCTCATGCTGCTCACAGGCGGAAAGTGGTCTGGTTGTGGCTGAGGAACTGCTGCCTTCTTCCCACTGAAATGCGCTAAGAGAGAGTCGCTGCTGCAGCTGAGCAGACGCTTCTGTGGTAAGCAGATTAACCAGGTCACGCAAACTGCTGTGCGCTTCCCGCGAAGACAGTTTCTTCAAAGGATCGTCCTGCTTCTGTAGGTGAGCGGAACTGCCTGGTGGTAGCAGCAGGTGGCGGAAGATGATGTGCCAGATGGGGCCGGGCAGCAGATCAACCACGTCCACGCTCTGATGGGTGGGAAGAGGGAAGTGCTTGGAATGAGGGAGAAACAAAGCAGCGGGAGTGGGAGAGGACTAGGCGAGGATATGCGAGGAAAGGGAGGGATCAGATGCACTGTCAGCGGCATCACGCTCACCTCGTGAGAATTCTCTGCATCAGAGGAGTCGGTGACATCGAGAGCACGCACGCTCTCTTCCAGCGCCGCACCCCCATGGTTAGAAGCCATCAGCGCCGTGAGAACCAAAGGATTGGATTCGTCTAGGTGTACAACAACGACTCGTTCGGACGATCAAATAGAGAGGGTCACAAGAAACGAACATAGATTCCGATTTCGTCAATCAAAATCGAGTCCGCCTTAGGTGGGCGATTCACTGATCGTGAGTTCGAGTTTCGGAACCTCTCATGGTCATCTCACAGACTCACATCGGTTGCCCTGCTCACGCCATCGTAGAAACCCTACATTTATCGTCAGTAAGAGTCAGGCACGACGAGGCTCGTCTGCTCGTCGCCACGGCGGCAGCAAAAGTGGCATGGCGGCGGGGGCTGCGCGGCGAGCGAGGAGAGAAGTGCACGAGGGGCGCGATGAAGGCACGGGTATTTCGCAGGGTCGCTGCGCGGTGTGCCTGAGAAACTCCCCCTCGAGAAGAGAACGACTCGTTCTCTTCTCGAGTCGTTGATTCTGACGAGCATGAATCCATCGAAACTATGAACGGCCATAAGAACGACTCTGCTTTGCCTTCCACAGCTGGCGGTGGGTTCTAAGACTTTTGGGTAATTGACAAGTGGCAGCGTGAAGCATGTGCAGGTAGCTGTTATGGCTTTAGCCGGAAAGAAGACCTGCGGGCATGGCTACTCGGTCTTGCGCGATAGCCATGCCTGCCCTCCTGCCCTTCCCGCCTTTCCTGATGAGAACCACTAGGTTTTTTTTTTTTTTTTTTTTTTTTTTGAAAATTGACATATACATTTATGAGGACAATGCATACATCAAAAGCAGTCGTAACTGAGCGTGAGGGCACTGCACCATGCACTGCCCAGTAATGCATCTAGGGCGGCAGGAACGCCCGCTTTGGCTTGTTCCAGATAGCAGCGAAGTTTGTCGACCACTTCCATTTTTTGTCACCTTTGGTTTTTCGAGAACCACTAGGCTGCATTGATTGGAAGTGTCGCTCGACACTATGCGCTATGCCAAGCCAAGATGATCCGTGTCCCGTTTATCGCAACCCAACTCTGTTGGTGAACTCCTGAAAGCAAGCTATTATTCAAACGATCTAACTTCGGACTTAAAATCCTTTTTTTTTTAAGCATATTCTTCCACCCTCTGTTGGCTTATTGTCATCACTTCCAAGAGCATACATCAGTTTTTTTGCTCTTCCATGCACACACCCTCATCACACATGCACCACACCTGCACAACTCCGATCTACCCACTCCACTCCCTCAATGCCTCAGCCAGCTCCTATTTGTGTAAATTCAGCTCAAAGGGTTTGAATGAACCTCATAATCCGATCATCCATCTTCATGTCCTCCTCCTTCATGGCGCGCGCAGCATAATCTGGCCTCATCAGCGCAACCGGCTTGTTGTTCCGCCTCTCCCCCTCCCCCTTCCAGTGAAACATTCGACCAACAATGCGGTACCACGTGAGGGACGGGAAATCTAGGGGCAGAGAATCTCAAAGTTAGCGAACAACGGAATGATTGGAATAGAAACGAATGGGGTACAAATGAGCAACCCTAGAAGCTGTACCCCCTAGAGTGCAACTCACTATAGCCTATCTGTCAAATGTTGAACATTGATATGATAGGCTATAGTGAGTTGCACTCTAGGGGGTACAGCTTCTAGGGTTGCTCATTTGTACCCCATTCGTTTCTATTCCAATCATTCCGTTGTTCGCTAACTTTGAGATGGTATCATGAGTAGGTGTCGATCCTCTCGCCTAGCCTAGCCTAGCTCGCGCCCTAGCGCCCTCCGCGCCCTTGCGCCCTAGCACACTCCGCGCCCTCCGCGCCCTCCGCGCCCTTGCGCCCTAGCACCCTCCGCGCCCTCCGCGCCCTCCGCGCCCTCCGCGCCCTCCGCGCCTTAGCCACCGCGCCCTCCGCGCCATCTCCGCGCCTTAGCGCCCTCCTCCTCCGCGCGTTAGCGCCCTCCGCGCCCCTAGCCTGCGCCCCTAGCCCGTCGCCCAGGCCCACGCCCTAGCCCGTCGCCCAGGCGCCCGCCCTAGCCCGTCGCCCAGGCGCCCGCCCTAGCCCGTCGCCCAGGCGCCCGCCCTAGCCCGTCGCCCAGGCGCCCGCCCCAGCCCGTCGCCCAGGCGCCCGCCCCAGCCCGTCGCCCAGGCGCCCACCCCTGCCCGTCGCCCAGGCGCCCGCCCCAGCCCGTCGCCCAGGCGCCCGCCCTAGCCCGTCGCCCAGGCGCCCGCCCTAGCCCGTCGCCCAGGCGCCCACCCCAGCCCGTCGCCCAGGCGCCCGCCCCAGCCCGTCGCCCAGGCGCCCGCCCTAGCCCGTCGCCCAGGCCTGCGCCCTAGCCCGTCGCCCAGGCGCCCGTCCTAGCCCGTCGCCCAGGCCTGCGCCCTAGCCCGTCGCCCAGGCGCCCGTCCTAGCCCGTCGCCCAGGCGCCCGTCCTAGCCCGTCGCCCAGGCGCCCTCCCTGGCTCGTCACCCCATCCCCGCAGGCAGCGCGCCACGCGGGTAGCGCGCCCCGCGGGTAGCGCGCCCCGCAGGCAGCACACCCTGCAGGCAGCGCGCCCCGGGGTGCTTCAGTGCGAGAAAATAAATAAATAAATTAAACCCTAAAAAAAAAAAAAAAAAAAAAAAGGGGTTCACAGTGGGGGCCTGCGACTGTCGCCCGCGTTCCTGCTTGCCGGACGACCTGCACAGTTGCCTACATCCCGCAGCCGTCAGTACTGCAGCCCCTACTGTCGCACGTACTTTCCACTGCCAGTGGCTCTACTAGCGGCAGCCGACAGCCGCACTTACGGTCTCTAGCCCCGGCCGTTCCTACCTCCAGCCAGCCCTAGCTCGCCGCTTCTAGCTCCAGCCGTTCTCGCTCCAGCCGTTCTCGCTCCTCGCTCGTAGCTCAGTTTGCTCCGTGCTCCGGCCGTTCCTCGCCTAGTTTCACCTGGCGCTTCTAGCTCAGTTTGCTCCGTGCTCCAGCCGTTCCTCGCCTAGTTTCACCTGGCGCTCCTAGCTTAGTTCGCTCCGTGCTCCAGCAGTTACTCGCCTGGTTTCACCTTGCGCTCCTAGTTGTTCTCGTTTTTCACAGCAGCCTGTCGCTCCTGTCGCTCCTAGCCTGCCGCTCCTGCACCCCGCTAGCTTTTATCATGGAGTCCGCTAGGGTTCTCCAGCAGCAGGGACAGCAGCAGCGGCCTTTTCAGCAGTGGCTTCCGCAGCGGCAGGGGCGCCCTCAGCAGCTGTGGCGCCCTCAGCAGCCATGGGGGCCTGGTGGTTCAGGTCGCGTTGGCTGCAGCAGCGGCCCAGCCAGCTGGGGGGCTCGTCCCGGTGGCCGCGACGTCGGCCCCTGCCAGTACCGGATCCTGACCGGCCCTGGTGCTGGCACTACCTGCTGGCGTCCTGACCACTCTGCACAGCGCTGCTACAGCCGCCTCGACGACCTTTACCGTGAGCGTTTTGGGCCTGAGTCGGCTCCCCCGATCTGGCCCGGTCTGTTTCGTAGTGGTTTCCCTGTGTTTGATATGTCTATGGATGCTGTTTATTCTGTCACGTACGGATCTCTTGGCTTACGTGTACCTAGCTTAGGACCTTTGCCTGTTGCTAGTGTCGGTACTTGTGCTTTTAGTGTAGGTGCTTGTGTAGTCACTAGCCCAGCCGTGACGACTGCTGTTGCGTCGCTCTCCTTCACGCTGGACTCCGGCGCGTCTCAGTGTTTCTTCCGCGACCACACCACTGTCACACCTCTTTCGGCTCCAGTCCCAGTTGCCCTGGCTGATCCTACTTCAGGACCAGCAGTTGCTCGTAGCTCGACCACCCTCCCGTGCCCGGCTGTCCCCTCTGGTTTCCTCACTGGTCTCTACATCCCCTCGTTCTCTCGGAACTTGGTGGGTGTTGGATACCTTCAGGATCGGGGGATCACAGTCACTTTTCCTGCGCACGGGAGGACTGCGATCTGTACGGACTCTTCCACTGGGGCAGTTCTTGCCACGTTCACCAGAGAGCCCCACTCAGGTCTCTTCGTCCTGCACACTCCGCCCCCGCAGGTAGCTGCGTCTGGTCAGGTTGCTTCGTCCCCCCCGGTAGCAGAGTCCGGTCAGGTGGCTGTGTCCAGTCCGGTCGCTGTGTCCAGTCCAGTCGCTGCGTCTTACTCCTGTCGCTCTCTCGCCCACCGCACCGTCCTGTGGCACCACCGTCTTGGCCACCCGTCGATCCCTCGCCTTCGTGGCATGCTCAGTCAGGGACTAGTCACAGGTCTCCCACGCACCTTCCCGTCGCTCCCTCCCTCGCTTGCCCCTCCTTGCTCTCCGTGCGTCGCCGGTCGCTTACGTGCCACTCCCCACTCCTCCTCCCTTCGTCCGGCCACCGCTCCCTTCGAGACTCTCCACTTGGACGTCTGGGGCCCTGCCCCGACGCAGGGGTCTGGGAGGGAGCGCTACTTTCTGGTGGTCGTCGACGACTTCTCCAGGTACACCACAGTGTTTCCTCTTGCGAAGAAGTCCGAGGTGACTGCTACGCTGATCAGGTGGCTTCTAGCCACTGAGGGCACTCGTGGTCGTCGAGTCAGTTGTCTTCACTCCGACCGTGGGGGCGAGTTTCGCTCCGGCATTCTCGGCGGATTCTGCGGCGAACAGGGCATCACCCAGTCCTGGACGCTGCCAGAGTCCCCACAGCAGAATGGGGTTGCTGAGCGCCGCATAGGCTTGGTCATGGACATCGCCCGCACGTCCATGATTCATGCCCGTGCGCCCCATTTTCTGTGGCCTCACGCGGTTCGCTACGCCGCACACCAGCTGAACCTCCAGCCGCGTGTCTCGCGGCCCGAGGCTTCACCGACCAGTCTCTGGACTGGATCCCCTGGTGTTGGGTCGGCCTTTCGAGTCTGGGGCTGCCTTGCACTTGTTCGCGACACCTCCGCGGACAAGCTCTCGGCACGCGCCGTCCCCTGTGTCTTCCTTGGTTTCCCAGTGGACTCTGCTGACTGGTCCTTTTACCACCCTCCCCTCCACCAGTTCCTAGATTCCCGTGACGTCCGGTTTGACGAGTCCGTGTCCTACTACACCCGGTACCCCTGTCGAGGTCTCCCGGTACCCCCTCCCCCTCTCTTCCTCGCACCCTCTCCTCCTCCTGCTCCCGCTCCTCCGGTACCCCCGCCCCCCCCTGGTCCTGCCCCGTCTGGTGTGTCCCACGCTACCCCTCTCCCCTCGGTCGCGCGTCAGGTAGCGTCTCCCTCCCCGCAGTCCTCCTCACAGTCCCCTCAGCAGCCTTCGGCACTTCCGCGACAGGTTATTGTGGACTCGGTTGGTGTTGGAGCTGGAGGTGCAGCCGCTGGCGGTGCTCGGTCTGGGGGTGCTCGGTCGCGGGGTACTGGAGCTGGAGGTGCTGGCGCAGGTGACGCTAGCTCTGGGGGTGCTGGAGCTGGAGGTGCTGGCGCAGGTGGCGCTAGCTCTGGGGGTGCTGGAGCTGGAGGTGCCGGCACTGGAGGTGCTGGTTCTGGGGGTGCTGGAGTTGGGGGTGCTGGCACTAGCGGTGCTAGTTCTGGGGGTGCTGGAGTTGGAGGTCCTAGCACTGGCGGTACTGGTTCTGGGGGTGCTGAGTCTGAGGAGACTGACGCTGGAGACCCTGGTTCTGCGGAGTCCACCCCGCCCCCCCACCGCCACGACACGCGTCTCCAGGCTGCCCGTCGGTGTGAGCGTGAGGAGCAGGAGCGGTTGGAGAGGGAGCGGCAGGAGCTGCGGGTGCTGGACCTTCTGGAGCAGCAGCGGCAGCAGCAGCAGCAGCAGCAGCAGCAGCAGCAGCAGCAGCAGCAGCAGCAGCAGCAGTAGCAGCAGCCGCAGCCGCAGCCGCAGCCACAGCCGCAGCAGCAGCAGCAGCCGCAGCCGCAGCCGCAGCGGCCGCAGCCGCCACCGCAGCTTCCTCTAGAGCGGCGGTTGTTCCCACCTGTGAGTGGCTTGCGGGCCCTTGGCCTTTCCTCCTCTCCTCCTGTCCGCTCCCAGTCTCCTCCTGTGTTTGTTCCTCCGTTGCCTCCTCCTGACGACCGTCCGGCGGTCTGGTCTTCTCCTCCTCCTCAGTCTCCTCCTCCCTCTGTCCGTCGCGACTTGATCACTCGTTGTCCTCCGCGTGCTCGTCACTCGTCCCCTGTTACTGACCTCCACACTGCCCTCCTTTGTTCGTCTCGTCGTCGTTCTCCTTCTCCTGTGTCCGTTCTCCCGTCACCTCCTCCGTCCTCTCTACCTGCCCTCCCCACTCCTATCTCTGACTACTACCGCGCTGTTCGTCCTGTTGCCGCACGTGTCCTCACCACTCTTGTCACCGACCCTCGTTTCCCTCCGTCGTCTGTCTCGGCTCTCACTGCCGCTGTCGCTGAGTTTGCTGCCGCCAGCCGCCTTGACTACACCACCCGTGTGGTGCCAGCTCCTCCCTACCGTCCTCTGTCCGTCGGGGGTGGGTTTGCCCTTGGCTGTGACGTCCTAGAGGACAGAGAGTCTGAGCTGGAGTACTGGGCAGCCACTTCTCCCTCTGTGTGTGCCATGCTGCTCTCCCCTGAGGGAGACCCCGACGCCCTTGACATACCGACTCCTCGCACTTACCGCGAGGCAGTGTCAGGGGCGTGGGCCTCTCAGTGGAAAGCGGCTATGGACTCAGAGTTGGCGTCTTGGAGATCCACAGGCACCTACGTCGACGCAGTTCCCCCTCCCAGGGCGAACGTAGTCGATGGCATGTGGCTCTTCAAGGTGAAGCGGCCGCCTGGAGCACCGCCGGTGTTCAAGGCGCGCTACGTGGCTAGGGGTTTCAGTCAGCGTGAGGGAGTTGACTTCTTCCAGACCTTCGCCCCGACCCCGAAGATGACTACTCTTCGGGTGTTACTCCACATAGCAGCGCAGCGAGACTACGAGCTGCACTCCCTCGACTTCTCCACTGCGTTCCTCCAGGGCCGACTGCACGAGGAGATCTGGCTGCGCCGTCCTCCTGGCTTCACTGACACCTTCCCACCTGGGACCCAGTGGAGCCTGAGGCGACCAGTCTACGGTCTCCGCCAGTCGCCCCGTGAGTGGCACGACACTCTTCGCTCCACGCTTTGTGACCTTGGGTTCAGCCCGTCCTCCGCCGACCCGTCGCTGTTTGTTCGAGCGGGTTCTACTCCTTTCTTTATCCTTGTCTACGTCGACGACTTGGTGTTTGCTACAGCAGACAGGGCAGCCCTGGCTCAGGTGAAGTCCGAACTGCAGAAGAGACACAAGTGCACTGACCTGGGTGAGCTGCAGCGCTACCTTGGCCTGCAGATCACCCGGGACAGAGCCGCTCGCACCATCAGACTGACGCAGTCACACATGGTGCAGCAGGTCCTTCGGCGGTTCCACTTCCAGTTCTCCACCACACAGCCCACTCCTCTTGCTGTTGACCACAGACTCACGGGCCCCTTTCCTGACGAGCCCTTTGAGTCCAGTGGACCCTACGCAGAGCTGGTGGGCTGCCTCATGTACCTGATGACTTGTACTCGACCGGACCTCGCCTTTCCACTCAGCATCCTTTCTCGCTTTGTTGCGACTGGGAGACACCGCCCTGTCCACTGGACAGCTGCTGTGAGGGTGACGAAGTACCTGGCGACTACATCAGGCTTGGGGCTTGTGCTTGGAGGGACTCAGCCAGTGGCGTTGACTGGTCACTGCGACTCTTCCTACGCTGACGACGTGGAGACTCAGCGTTCGACTCAGGGTTATTGCTTCAGTCTGGGAGCTGGTGCTGTGTCGTGGAGGTCTACACGGTCGTCGTCTGTGGCTACTTCCAGTGCAGAGGCAGAGATCTACGCTGGTGCCATGGCGGCACAGGAGCTTCGCTGGTTGACCTTCTTGCTCGCTGACCTTGGTGAGCGGCCTCGCTCTGCACCGACCTTGTACGCTGACAACAAGGCCATGATCCTCCTGTGTCGAGAGCCTCGACTGGAGAGCAGAGTGAAGCATATTGACGTGAGGTACTTCCTCCTGCGAGAGCTGCAGCGACGCGGTCAGGCACGCCTGGACTTTGTGGCCTCAGAGGCCAACACTGCAGACGTCTTCACCAAGGCCTTGGCGCTTGGTGACCACCACAGGTTCTGTGTGCAGTTGGGGCTTGTTGAGGTAGGCCCTCGGTTGCTGTAGTCCTGTTGCTTGCTCTGCTTGTTGTGCTTTGTATTTATATCCTAGTGAACTCTTGAACTGGCCTTGTGGCCGCTTGCTTGCGCTCGGAATTTGTGTGGTGTCCTTGAGATCCACCTTGAGCTTGCCTTGGTTCTTGCTTTGACTGGTCTTGTGACCGTTTGTTCACCTTGCTTGCTTTGATGCCCCTCACTTAGCCTATGGGGGTGTGTCAAATGTTGAACATTGATATGATAGTCTCAAAGTTAGCGAACAACGGAATGATTGGAATAGAAACGAATGGGGTACAAATGAGCAACCCTAGAAGCTGTACCCCCTAGAGTGCAACTCACTATAGCCTATCATGGCAATGTTCAACATTTGACAGAGAAGCCAGCGTCTTGGTCTGGCACTGCCGAGTAGCAAAGAAGATCCACTCCAGGTTTGGAGCAAGAATGAAGGGCGGCTTTATCGCCTCAAGCTCATTTCTGCTCCTTGCCTTTTCCTCCACAGTAGAAGGTCGCCTCGCCCTACCACTTCTCGTGCCCCTCACACCAACTGCAAGGATGTGAAGGCGGCTCCACTCTGCATCCACGTCCTCCAGAGGCCAGCCGTGCCTCACTATAAGCGTTTTCACTGTTGGCGCGAAAGTGCTAAGTAGCTGCGTTGAAGAAACTGCATCCGGATCCGTAAAATCCGAGGCGTGGGGACCATTCAGAACAACAGTTTTAACAGAAGCGAGTGGTGGGAGGGAATAAACGACAAGCTGCTTGTGGCCAATGAGAGCGAAAGAGTTGAGAGAGAGAGGCCTGGAGCCCTTGCAGTGGACTCCCAGCTCCTCTGCCTTGATAGTGAGTATCTTGAGCGTGGGAGGCAGGGAGAAGAAAGCAGCAAGAGTGCACTGCTCACAACTGACTTTGATATACTGAGCAACAGAGAACTCGAGTCGGAGGCTGCAAAACGTAGAGCTGGAGGAGGAGAAAGAAAACTCATGCAGCTGCGGTGCGATGGAAGACAGAAAGTTGTAATCGTTTTCATTGCAGCCCGCATGCGCGATGGTCAAGCACCTTAGCGCCATGAACCATGCCGCATTCGCACTGCGTAGTTCCCACCTCCCACGGCCTAGCTTCAACTGCTGCAGCTGCTGAAATCCCTGAAGGAAGTACAGATCCATCAGTTGGCACTGGATAGGCCGTCGCACACATGAATCGACAGGCCTAAGGCACAAGCTTGTGAGGGATCGGGACGAGGATGCCATGAACCGGCTGAGGGTCTCGAGGTCTTCCAAGCGGGTGAACTTAACGTAAATCGAGTTGAGAGCAGTCCGTTTGAGGATGAAGGAGAGAGTTTTTTTCCACTGGGGCTCCTGACTGTCGAACACGAACGAGATGGGCTCGAGCTCCTGCCCACAAAGAGCGACATCCGGAGGAAAAACGTTCTATGGCATAACATACATGCATGGGGAACAAGCGCATGACTCACGGAGAAGGACGCGACATGGTAGAGGAGCCGCTTGCTGGCCATGGCACAGCGCAGCACAGGCCAGGAGGAGCCGAAGCGCCTTATGCCCTTCTCATGCTCCTCCCTGGCAACCTGCTGAGTGCAAGCGGGTTTATTGCCGCAAATTTCATCGACAAAGTTGCGCAAACTGCTGCTTGCTCCCCGTGATGACGCTTCCTGAGAGGATTCGCCCCGTTTCTTCAGCTGAGAAGAGGTGGCTGGCGGCAGCAGCAGGAGGCGGAATATGATGTGCCAGATGGGGCCGGGCAGCAGATCAACCACGTCTAGATCCTGGGCCTGGTGGGTTGGTTGGGCGGAGAAGCATTGGAGATGGGAGGAGAGGCGGCGGTAAATATGAGAGTGAAATCGAGAGTGAATTATGGAGGTGATGCGAAACTAGAGGTCCGGATGCGGCATCACGCTCACCTCGTGCGAATCTCCAGCAACAGACGGGTCTGTGAGTTTGAGTGCACGCACCCTCTCCTCCAGCACCGAATCCCCATGGCTAGTAGTAGCCATACTAGGGGCCGTAACAACTGGACTCGATTTGTTCAGGTTTAAACCACTCGTCTGTCGTTCGAGTCCAGAGGGACACACGAAATCGAAACATAGAATAGCTATGTCTGGCCAAGCCGCTTGTGATAACTATAATTGACTTCCCAAGGAGCCATTAGGCTATTGGTAAGAGAAGCAGAGGCCTACTGGCGGTGAGGTTGCTTACATTGCACCGCTCGTCCCGTGCTTGCACAAGCTTGAAACCGTACCCTCACTGGTCAGGGCTCGGGTACGACGACGCCTGTCATCGCCATGGCGGTGCCAGCAAACAGCGGCGCGACGGGCTGACCGAGTCCGCGAAGCACAATGAGGCCGCGGACCGGCGGGGGGAGTGGACAAAGCGTAAGTACGGCGCGGGTAGACCTGCGGGGTGTTCCGCGGGGTTTTCCGCGGGGTGCTTTTGAGCGAGCTTCTTTTATTGGAGCGACGGATGCGAATTGTCGTTCCTGTCAAATCTGAACGCATCGTAACAATGAACGGCGATAATCCAGCTGCTGCTTTGGCTCCGACAGCTGGCGATTGGGTTCCAGGCTTCAAGAGGCTGACAAGTGGCAACTGCAACGGTCTCATTGGACAAGCACCTCACGCTCATTCCTGAACAGTTTCGAAACTCCTAGGAATAGATCCTAAGTGACATCGACAAGCACCTCACGCAT